AATAGAGCGCTTGGACCCAGAAGCCGCTTCGCGTGACGTCACACTTAACAAGCGGATCGGAATGTAAAAATCCACCACTTGAGAGGATTCCAGAGAACACTGTCCTGTGAACTTTGGGTCCAACCGCATTTGTTTCCAAGGGTTTTAATATTGCGGTTGCCTAATTTTCAATTATTTACGATGTATTCTTAGTGACATACATGAAAAAGGAGCGTACTGGCGAGTTGATCTGCATTAATGTTATATATGTTTTTTTCTTATAAAAAGTGGGACTCTCACTCTAACTATAATGACAAAACAAAACTTTATTACCTCTTCAAAATATTTCAGATATATGGACACATATTGGATAAGTGGAGCAAAGCCACAGCATACACAACAACTTAATCTTCCAAAGTTACATTTTTTTTATAAAAAGCGTGCAACATTTTTACGCAATAAAGCATGTTTTATGCGGAAATGTAATTGATTTGGGAGACGTAGTGGCGCAGTAGGTATTGCTGTCGCCTCACAGCAAGAAGGTTGCTGGGTCGCTGGTTTGAACCTTGGCTCAGTTGGCATTTGTGGAGTTGTGTGGAGTTTGCATGTTCTCCCTGCGTTTGAGTGGGTTTCGTCCGGGTGCTCCTGTTTCCCCCACAGTCCAAAGACATGTGGTACAGGTGAATTGGGAAGGCTAAATTGTCTGTAGTGCATGTATGTGTAGATGTTTCTAAGAGATGGGTTGCGGCTGGAAGAGAATCCGCTGGGTAAAAATGTGCTAGATAAGTTGGCGGTTCATTCCGCTGTGGTGACTCCGCATTAATAAAGAGACTAAGCCGAAAAGAAAATGAATGAATGAATGTAGGTGATTTGCTGATATGCTGCAACAGCCACTTTAAATATGAGATCAATGTATTGAATTTTGATGCTCTAGCCGGTAGAGCTGTGAAGGTAGACATCGTTGTTGACAGGGTTGACGTTGTTGACTTTGAAGCTCTCACAACCTTTGGTGTGAACGCACAGGGGACTAAGCCGAAGAATTTTAATGCCTATTAAAGTTTTACTCTGTGGCTTTGGTGCATTTATCACAACACTATTTACAATTGCATTTCTCAAAGCAATTAGTCATTTGTCCACATCATATTAGCAGTTTCTTATTCATTTCCAAAAAATTGCAAATGCTTTTGGACATGCATTAACTGCTTTCATAAAACTCACTGCTGTTGTATAACATTAACATTTGCTTCTGTCATGTCAGTCAAAATTAACTAAACTTGTGAATGCTGAATAGTCATTCCATATGAAACTAACCGTCCTCATTTCATTACTTGAGTCATTATATACAAAAACGTTGAACTAGTTGTCAAAATCTGTCAAGCAAATTTTTATAAAACTTTTTTAAAAATCCTGAAAATGTCTTCTAAAATGAACAATTTGATGAATGATTTACAGACCTGTGTATGTTGTAGGTTCAGTTCCAATATGTACTGCAGTATTGTTTACAGTTGTGCACAGCTCTACCCAAAGGAAGTTTATGTTTGTTGAAAATAAGGGTGTATTTATTCTTTCATACAATGCTGTGAACAAATTAGAATTGCAAAGAGCAAAGGCAGTAAAAATGTGAAACATACATATTCAGTATCTTGTACTCAGATACCTCACTAAATGCAGTGATAACTAACTTTACTGTAGTTTTCAAATGCCTGTGCAAATAGTATATAGTTTTGTCTTGAGCATTTTACTTTTTTGCATTAGAAAAAAAATGTAAACAGAGTAAACCGTCATAATGAAAACATGACAAAGCCATTTGACTACCTTGTTCATGTTCAATGGTGTCAGGACTTTTCATCTTGATGACACTGACACTTTCATTGGCATGAATACTTGATTTTGAGAAATGAGCTGTCCATTATGAGCAAGTGACATGCTTTTGCAGGTTATTAACTAGGTTTTGCAGTTTGTACTAAATGTTTTGAGAAATGAATTAACTGTTGTGCAAATGTAAATAATGTTGTGAGAAATGCACCAAAGCCACTGGGAAAAACTGTAAACAAAAGGCAGGTATATGAACCACAATTAAAATGTACATATACCCCACCCCCACAAATGGCATTTCCTGAAAACATCACATAGGAAGTCTAGCTGACCAGCGCTTTATAAAAGCAGAAAGTCAAAAACTTGTTTAGGTAAACTAGGGGTGTAGAATAAAGGTAAAATATATGAAAAAAAAATTTTGTTTAAAAAAACAAAAAAAACAAAAAAAAAAAACAAGTGCACTATAAATACAACCAAGCCTTGGAAAACATTTGATTGACCAGCACTTTAAAGATGCTGGAGGTCAGAGCTGCTGCAGCTCAGGGATGATTGGATTGCAGCCACATCCTGATCGATTTGATTGGATGAGGAAGAATGTTTGGTGGATGATGATTTTTATAGAAGCTTGACGTTTAAGAAAAATAACCTGGAAGCAGGTGGAGACCAAACTTGTTCAAATGACCTCTGCAAGGGGGAGAAAAACTCATCAGAGAGGAAAGAAGGATTTTCTCACTTTTGAAGGATCTCTTTTTGTTTGTATTTTTTTTCAAGCGCTATCAAGTATCGTGCAGTACTGAAACCACAAGTTTAAAACTGTTCACACAATAGTCTAAATGCAGAACAAACTGTGAACCATTTCTCGTGCTAAAACACATGCAATAATAAATGCATGCAACAAACACATTGTTTAAAACACTATTCTCAGTCACACTCTTCAAGCAACATTTTCAACACTTTTTTCCACATGCTAACAACATCTAAAATTCTAAATTGCAAAATTCATTCATTTTTGCCATATTATTTTAAAATATAGAAACTCTTTCCACAAAATGACAATCATTACAAATTGACCAGATTTTTAGCTGAAAGCCTGCTCAGGATTCCTACTTTAGTGCCATTATATATTTTTTATTTATTATTTATTATTTATTTATTATTTTATTTATTATTTATTATTTGTTTTGTAAAAAAGGATAGCTTACAAATCATTTTGTAAGGAAATATTTATAAAATATGGTAATACAGGTTGGTAGGGAAAGAAGAGTGATAGCTAGATTATGACACTGACAGTGGGATTGCATAGAGAACAGAGTATGCAAATTATATGAGTACAATATAATGTCTACATTTTCACATGTACTAACATTTCGAAGTGAATTAAAATACATTACAGATATTGTTTTGTTGTGCGATCCATAGCTTGCCTCTCTGACTTGCAGTTTAGGAAAGGTTTTGAAAAATTTAAACCTACAATTGTCACATGCAATGTAAATCTTATCACAAAAATCGTATCACACATTCTTTAGCACATTCAAGACAGTAAAAAGGTAAAAAGTTAAATTACATACTGAAATAGGAAACAATTCATTCGAAATTCAAAATTAAAAGGAGTTCTTTTCTGCAATGCTCCGTGCTGTTAGTGTTTTTAGGTCAGTGCATTATGAAATGTTTTCTGAATGAGAATTGTTCTCAGTGGTTTGGTGAGACAAGCTTACTTTGAGCTGTATATGATCTATTGTGTTGGTCTGCATGAGTTTCAGAGGTGAGCTGAACTGTTTTGTCAAAAGTCATGTTGGTAATGCACACTGTGTGAACAGCTTTGAAAATGTGGCTTCAGTTCTGCACAATGCTTGATAGCGGTTAAAAATACCCTGTGCTACTAAGGTTTGTTTTAGTTTGTGTAAATGTGTAATTTATGTGTAATTCTTTCAAGAGTTTATGTCACTGGTTGAATAGATTGAATGATTGATGTAAGCAATAAAATGAGTGTACAGGTATGTCATACAAGACAATATAAGAATCTTTGATTTAATAAATCATTACATGTACACACACAATACATTTAATGAAAAATCTAAAAACAACAACAACAACAACAACAAAATGAATATGAATTTAGAAAAACTGAATATATATTTAATGCTGCAATGCAGTGGTTCTCAAACTGTGGTACAGGTACCACAAGTGGTACGCAGGCTTACTTCAAGTGGTACCCAGAGGAATCGCTGAAAAATTCAAGAAAAAAAAAAATGAACACACTTTTAACCCTTTGACGCCTACCATAACAACAATGTGATCAGGAAATAAAGTTTAATAGGCTAAACTTTTTATTTTCATTTTTCTAATGTTTGTTATTTGTTCTATCATTTGAGGTTATTTTCCTCCCCACACTTGTAACAGTTGTTGGGGGTGTATCTCGTATTTTTATATCCCAATGTTGACAGGTATAGTTTAATCACTTGCTTCTCTGACACACATAGCCTACTCTAACGAGCAGTGAGCAGATCTAATTTCTAATTTAAATATGTAAATTCAATTCATATATTTAAAAAACAAGTTAACGTTTAGATTTCAAAGATATACAGATAAGTCATAAATACATGCAACATATATTTAAAAATGTATCAAACAGAGTTATTTATGAATATTGGCATATGGTATAACCTGTATTTATGAGGTCCAAGAAACATTAGCAGGTTTTGATGAATAGGCTACTTTATGATAATACTTAACATTTAAGTGCAGCAGTTTCCTTTTTACTTTTTAAGAACAGTGCCATTTTTAATTAACTTTTAAAATCACACTTTAATTTAAACGTTGACGTTTCATTTATCTTTTTTTTTTACCTGTAAGTGTGTTATTGTTCAAACTACTTATTATGTTTAAAGTGGCTGACAATAATAAATATTAAAAATAATAAGAATTAATCTGCCACGTTTGTGAACTGTGCAGAGCTGTAGCCGCTTAAATAGGCCTCCTATGTATTTCAACACCAGTCATTATGGTGGTACTTGGAGAGACAATTTTTTTGCGCTTGCTTATAGAGAATAAAATCTTTATTTCGGGATTACCACTCTTAATAAATACACTTGCATATAAAGTAAATAGTATCTCAAAGCATTTACTGGGGCACGTGCCCTAAATCCACCCGCGTGGGGCCTACCTGGGCTGGCCCGCCATTTTTTATTCATAATAATAAGATGAGCATGAGCAGCGTGGCTATATTTTCGGCGTTCATGTTCACAAACGGGACTTACTGTAACCTGCAAAGCAGCATTTCAGCATCAAGCAGGAGAGGTGCGTTCGTGCGTACATGCGTGGGGCGTGCGGGTACATTGCTTTTATTAGCGTTGGTTCGGTTGCACAAAGAGAATAACGTCTTTTTTTCGGGATTACCACTCTTAATAAATAAACTTGCATATATAATAAATCGTACCTTGAAGCATTTACCAGGGCACCTGGGATGGCCAGAATTATTATTTATAATAATAGTTTACATTTAAGTACAGCAGTTTTCTATATACATGCAACATATATTTAAAAATTGATCAAACAGAGTTATATGAATGTTGTATAATGAGTGTATAACCTGTATTTATCACCTACATAATAGCACATTTTAATTTAAACACTGTTGTTTTATCTTTTTTTTTCACCTGAAAGTGTTTTATTGTTCAAACTATTTATTATGTTTAAAGTGGCTGACAATAATAAACATTCATAATAATAAGAATTAATCTGTCACGTTTGTAAACTGTGCAGAGCTGTAGCTGCTTAATTAGGCCTACTATGTATTTCAATACCAGTCATTATGGAGATACTTGGAGAGACAATTTTTTCTAAGGTGGTACCTGGTGAAAAAAATTTGAGAAACACTGCTGTAATGTATAGTAAAAAAAAAAACAAATATTTATATTTATCATTTCTTGTGGCCTTAGTCCCTTTATGAATCCGGGGTCGCCACAGTGGAATAAACCGCCAACTTATCTAGCAAGTTTTTACGCAGAGGATGCCCTTCCAGCCCCAACCCATCTCTGGGAAACATCTACACACACATTCACACACACACTCATACACTACGGACAATTTAGCCTACCCAATTCACCTGTACCGCATGTCTTTGGACTGGGGGAAACCGGAGCACCCGGAGGAAACCCACGCAAAGGCAGGGAGAACATGCAAACTCCACACAGAAACGCCAACTGAGCCGAGGTTCGACCCAGCGACCTTTTTGCTGTGAGGCGTCAGCCCTACTTATTCCGCCACTGCCTCACCCCTAATATTTATAGTTGTGAACAAATATTTAAAAATATATAGTTTAAACATAGTTTATAAATAATAAAATAATATATAATATTTATATAATATTTGCTATAACCAAAAATACATAGTTGGGTTGTTTTGTTTTACCACAAATTATTTAAATATTAAGTAAAGATAATTTTCCATGAAGATATCTAGTAAATATCTTTTTTAATATATCAATACTCATTTTTTATCAGTAATGTTGCTAAGAACTTTTTTATTTTTAAACTCTGGGATTTAAGATTTTAAATAGATGTATCTCAACTAAATATTGTCTAACAAACAATAAATCATTGCAATTAATTTATGAAATTCAGATTTCAGGTTATGTATAAATGTCAGTTTTCTAAGTTTGACGCTTATGGTTTTGTGGTCTAGGGTATAATATTTGAAATTGTGTTTTAAATAATTCCTCAACACAGAAAGTAAAAGCTTTCACTTCATTAGAACTGCAAGGTAAATTGCATTGGGGGATACATTGTTGCTTATTTAGTGCTGTTTAATAGTACATATTCAGTCAAATGTAATAGCTCATATGCTAGTTTCATGCATACACAACATTTGCATACTATGCACTCTTTCATAGTGCACTAAAATAGAAAGTGTAGATTATAGACCAGTTTGAGGACTGTAAACAAAAACAATGGTCCCAAGGTATTTCCTGTTTCACATTTTTAATTTCTATAGCTTCCAAAAAATCCACATATCGATTAACAATGTTATGATAGCTGTTTCAACATTAAGTTATTATCGATATGGCTCTTTTTATTAAATAAGTTTGATAACACGCAGAAAATGTTCATGGGCCAATGACATGACCACATTGAAATGGTGTATATATTTCAAAAACAGCAAAGCGAACAGCATCAGATGCAGAAACCTGAAATCACGAAAGAGTGTTTCAGGTCAGCAAACCAAGCCTTGTAGTTCCTGTTGTGTATTTTTAGCTGATAGTTGCTCAGTTCTGAACACCCATGGGCCAGACAGGAAGGAAGTGGTATTTATTTTCTCTGATCCGTAGTTTGAAAGTGAAAGATTTTATCAGCAGCTCACAGCCGTGATCACATTTATCGTAGCTTTCTTTTCATAGAAGCCCCCAAATCATCTACAGAGTCCGCTGTGCAGTCCCTCAATCTTATTTATGCAGGTATTGCTGTTTCACATCGAGGTGAATTTCACACTGGTCTTGCGGTCGGTCTTTAATAACCTCACCGATTTTGCTGTGGTTTGAAACTGCGGTGGCTGAACACAAACAGACGACCAATTAGCAGTAGAAATGTTTCTGATCACGCTTTGTTTGTGCTGTTTTTAAATTATTAAACCGATGACACTTAAGACATGTAGAAATAAATATATACACAGTCACAATTACTCTACCACGCAAAAATCCAAGGCTAATTATTGAATCGGCTCTTCTGATGTGCGTAATGTGCTGATGAACTGGGGTCGTTAAGAGTCTTTTTAATCAGTGACCCAACAATCAGAGGCTGATTAACACTCTGCACATCTCATCAGACACCCTTGAAATCAAGATGGGCACCGGGAGTCAGTTTAACATAAACCAAACACATAAAAGTAATTGTCAAGTCCTGCTTTGCACCAAAGCTCGAATCAAATCAGCAAAAGACAATGAAAGCGGGAGGTTTTCATGATTTCTTTTTCCCAAAATGACAGTTTGGACACATAAACAAAACTCCTTGACAGCAGCTATTTGAAAATCAAGGATGTTCAAGTAAATGTGGGTGATAAAGAAGAGACAATAGTTCTGCCTACATAGATGCTTAAATGTAGTGGAAAATCAAGTGACAGATTTTTAATGTGTGTTAGCATATTGCTAAGCTAATGACAAATACTAAGCAAAATAGCTTATGCCAAGTAGACTAAAAACACCCTTATTATTCTTTTTGGATATTATCATTTTTACAGTTTGTTTATGGAGCTAAAAATCAAAGATTAATTGTAGTTATTGTTTCCTGATGTCCATTCATAGGTCAGAGTTCACCAAGCTTGATCTTTGGAATGCAGCAACAAGATTGCATTCACGATCTGGCACATTCGGATTCGTTAGATTGGAAGTCTATGGTTCAAAAAGTGCAGTGCGACCATAAATTTATTTCATGTACAAACTTGCATTGGTTTGCAATAAATTTGCACATGGCTATGGTTTTCTTTGGCTAACCATGAACAACATCTCCTGTACTTCGACCCTAACATACTGTAGTTTTAGCTATAGTCCTAGCTTTGTTGTGTGTCAACATGCTGAGAAGATGCTGTTTTCTGCTTTGAAGAATCACTTTATATGCACTTTAAACAGATGAGGGTGAAATTGATATGTAATACCATCATTAGATTCCATACCAATGTGTTTACAAGTGCTGAAGAAAGGCTGAATTCAGATATGGAAATGGGGAATTACTTTTTGAAACAGACTGGACTATCTGACCAATCAAGGCAAAGTAGTTGAGTTTAACCTTGGATAGATGCAGGTCTTTTGTAGGAGACTCCAAATAGCAATTAGAAACATTTGATTAGCATAATAGAAATATTCAAACAGACATATTTTTTATTCCTGTAAATCTATATTTGGGCATGAATTTTTAACCAATTTCAATTAATCTTTATTAGAAATTTCCAAGATGTTCAAAGTCCAGAAACAGAACCAAAAATATCATAAACCAAATACCAAAACATTCCATGTGGTTTCAGTGGTTCAACCCTAATCATACACAAAAATACACACACAAGTGTGGTATTGCCCTTAATAAACGTGCACCCTGAAGATATTTGTGGACCGAATTGTTGTTACAGTTGATTGCCACACAAAACTGTTCTTGGAGCTTCATACTGTTGAACCGCTGAAATCATGGAATGTTTTTGGTTGCTTTTCTGGACATTGAAGGTCTCGGGGCTGTTGCTGTCTGTAGAGAATTAGAGAGCTAAATTAAAGGTGCAGTAGGTGATCTGCCAAAATGCTAACCAGTTAGCATAATATCTTCGAAACACAGTCCCACCCCTGTCGTCCAAAGCCATGCCTCCTGAAACAAGCGCACAACAGCAGACAACCGATTAGTTCGTCATTCGCTAGTTAGAAATGTAGTTAATGGTTGGCCGGTTGCGTGCAGAAATTACACTTATTACTAAGACATTCTAACACGCTATTTCAGAGCGAATATTCAGAGTAGCATTGTAAACAATATAGGGAGCACATCACAGGCTGTCAGTGTTCAAAAATGAACCAATGTGATGTGAACATAAAACCAACTTCAGTTCAGTAAAGCAGGCTAGGCGGAATGACAATATTAACTGATGTTTTGTTGTTAAATTAAATAAAAATCTACTTTATCGATGCTGTAAAAGTTCCCTTATGAAACTGAAAATAGTCACTTGAATAACATACAACAGAACAACACTTCTGTGAATATAACCTATTCATAACAACAACATCTATATAAGCTTTGCATTACTAAAATAGTTTTAAAACATAACATTACCTGTCAAAAAGAAATACTTCAGTCATGGTGTCGTAATTCCTCCAGCGTGCAAAGTAACTTCAATATTGATTCAGGATTTTTAAAGTTGAGATTCTGTATTTGATTTTAGCGCTGTGATTTCATGTCTCTTGTGTACATGAACACACGGCACGCATCCATACGTGCATGCGCAAATAACGGATTCTGCATGAACAGAGATGTGCAAAAGCCCATATGTAGATTTGTTGACAGACAGTTTGGGCTACTTATCGGAATTATGGGAGATGCTGGCCCGATAATATTTAATTGGATGATAATTTTTTTAGTCTTAAGCCTTACATAGAATATAAAAATACATATAAATACATTTAGATCATTCACTTTAATCAATACTATTGGAATCTGAAGAGACTTTCAACCAGCACAGCAAAAAACATTTCTGAAGACAATCACCTACTGCACCTTCAACTTATTTTGTTTTGCAAAAATCAACAATTTTACTTAATCAAACAATTAACAGTTTTCATTTTTTGGGTTAACTAATCCTTTAAGTCTTTATTACATATCATCATTATGAAACTATTCAAATAAATGTTTACAAACCTATTAAGCTAAAACATTGTCACACAAAAAGACTACTGATGCACAATTATTAGTGAATGACCTGCAATTGTATCTTCAAAGTGTTGCTCAAATAGTGTTACGAAAATATCAAGACACACCAACGACAAAACAAAACACATCTGTTCCAGAATCCTCCAGTTAAATCTGACACTAACTGCAGCATGTGTCCAGTGAGTCATGTAGGTGGATCCAGATAGCATGAGACTGTGCACGGCTGCATGTAACAAGAGTGAACAGCAAAAACAAATACATTTGACATTCACGTTCATGGGTGAAGCTTAACAGGGCAACAAGCCAACAGTCTGAGCGCTTGTTTCATCCTGGAGCGAGGGAGGAAGAAGAGGCTCAGAAAATGACAGCGCTGAACATCAACAGGAGGAACAAAGGCTGGACTTGGACAGGACTGCTTTCTCTGGCTTCTTCCTGCTCCTGTGGACGTTTAATTTTGAATTTCAAAGCCTCCAGAGTAAAAGCATTAGGTTTTGCTCCCTTCTGACTTTGGGTGCAAGTCTCCTTTTCAGCGACTTAAAAATGCATATAAAATATAAACTGTATAGGGTTGGACAATGAAACTGAAACTGAGGTTTCATGGCAAATTTTGACCAGCCTGATGGCCAATCTTTATTGATTGCACATTCCACCAGTAAGAGCGGAGTATGAAGGTTTAAATAGCAGAGTAATTGCACAGTTTTGCTAAAAATATTGCAATGCACACAACATTATGCATGACATATCAGATTTCAAAAAAGGACAAATTGGTAGTGCACATCTCACCAAAACAGCAAGTCTTTGTGATGTATCAAGAGCCACAATATCTAGGGTAATGTTACCATACTACCTAGAAGGATGAACCATATACCACAGGAGTAACTGTGGACACTAGAGGAAGCTGTCTAAAAGGGATGTCCAGGTGCTAACCTGGATTGTATCCAAAGAACATAAAACCACATCTGCCCAACTTACTGCAGATTCAAATGTGCTTCTCAACTCTCCTGTTTCCGCCAAAATTATTTGTTGGGAGCTCCACAGTGTGAATATACAATGCCGGGCTGTTATAGCCAAACCTTTGGTCACTTGTGCCAATGCCAAAGGTTGTTTTAAATGGTGAAAACAGCCAAAATCTTGGGCTACGGACAATGTGAAACATGTAATGTTCTCAGATGAGTCCACCTTCACTGCCTAACCCACATTCAGAAGAGTTAAGGTATGGAGAAATCCCAAATAAGCGTACCACACTAACTGTTGCATTGAACCATGAGGCTGGATCAGTGCTAGTTTGGACTGCAATATCATGGTATTCCCTAGGCCCAATACTTGGCTAGAAGGGCACATCACTGCCAATTCTGTGCGGCTATTCTGTACGGCCATGTATACCCAATGGTTGCAACATTGTATCCTGAATGTGGTGCCGTGTATCAAGATGATAAGTCACCAATGCACCAATCCACACAGCCAGACTCATGACAGAGTGCTCGATGAATGTGAATGTAAAGTTGAACCTTCTCCCATGGTCTGCACAGTCACAAGATCTAAATATTATCGAGTCACTTTGGGGTGTTTTAGAGGAGCAAGCCAGAAAATGTTTTTAGGATCACATAGTAATCTGGCCACCATTCTATATATAAGTGTTATTCAGCTATATTTTTCTTGCTCTCCTTTGGACAGTTCATACATCTAAATTTTGTGACTGGATGATTTAAAAGAACAGCTCTATACTCAAGGAAATAGTGTAATTCAACTCCTATTATCTGTCGAGACAAATTTAGATATTTAGCAGGATGTTCATTTTTAAGCTTTTACATATATGAAAACTGCAAGCTTCAAAAAGAACAACAGAAGCAACAAATATTAAAACATCATGAAACCAACATGAAGGTCCTCTTAAAGTAGGGCAAATGACTCATGCACTATATTTAACCCACTTTTTTCATTCTTTTTCAACACACCACAATCACACACTAAAAGGCATTTAAAATAAATTATGTCAATAATAAAATGAGATATTCTGAAAACTATACTGTAACTTAGCAACAAGTATGAATCATTAGAGTTATTAGTAGACTCTTTATTAATATGCTAACAACTTTTTGTTTAGAATAAAATTATAATATAACTTTACAAGCAGCTCAACTTATTATAGAGATGCTAATCTAACAGCCTACTTATTCTTTACTAATACTTAGTATGATAATGGCAGTTTGTTGACATCTAGTTGCATGATACTTGAAATCAGCAGACAGATCACCATTAAAATGAAAGAGATAAAAAATAAAAAGTTCTCACCATTTACTCATCCACTGGATCCAAATTTTTGATTATTCTTCTGTTGAACACAAAAGAAGATAATTAAAAGATGGTTTGAAACCAATAGCCATTGATTTCCAGGATAGAAGACTAGGAACCTTTAAGTGAAATAAATTTTTAAATAAAGACAGGAAGTTTCAAATGGCTTTTTTATTTCATTCTATGATGGTTTAAAAAGCTGTTCACGAAACACAATAGATTCCTTTTCTTCTTTCTTTTGTATTGCAGTTCGAGATGTTCTGGTCATAGCAGTAAGCACAGAAGCTGCAGTTCGGTGTGGTCTGTATGGTGAATATGTCCTCACTCCTCTACAGGACTGTATAGTCCTGAAGGATCTGAAATCGAAGCAAGTGCTTTTTAAATGGCCGTACTGCTATGTAAGGAAGTTTGGACAAGATACGGTAAGCTGGGGTCACTTTACATTTGGGGTCAATGACAAATAATATACATGACAATTTAAGATCAATACAAAACTAGAAAAGTGATATTATCTATATTAGGACTTTTCCCAGGACACCATGCCAAACATGCTTTATCAACCATCAGCTAAGAGTGAACTCTTGAAATGGCATTCAAATGAATGTGTTTTATCTGCTTGTTAAGTGTGACTTCATGCGAAGCGGCTACCAGGTCCGAGCGCTCTATCAAACTGTATGGGAAGAGACAACAAATGGTAAAAATAAATGTTTACAAAGTGATCCATGCCTAATATCCGATGGCCATAAAGTTCATTTAAAAAAAAAAAATTGTTAAAATATTGTTGTCTGTGATGCAGCAAGTCGAGAGACTGTTGTATACACCATGATTTTATATTAAATTCACTTTAATGTGTGATATGACTAAAAAGTGATGATAAATGAATATTTTCTCAATTAAAAAAAAAAAAGCAGCTTGGACCTGGAAACAGTATTTCATACGTCACGACTTAACAAGCAGATAAAATTGAGGTATATAGTATATATAGTAATATATAGTAATATATAGTTTCACAAAAGAAAATTAAATAAACATTACATTAAAAAGTTATTCTTTAATTAAGCAAGGGTGAATTAGAGATTTTCAAAGAAACCTGTTCTTTTTAATCAAAAAAAAAAAAAAAAAGATTGAGTTTCCACAAGAATAGGCAGCAGCTGTTTTATGAAATATGAATCATGGTTACATAACTTGTAGAAACACTAGAAAAAGTTTCTTAAAAAGACAAGCAGCATATTTAAATTAATATATTAAGCATTATTGTACTTTGGATATACAGTTGAAGTTAGAATTACAAGCTCCCCTGATTTATTAGTCCCCCTGTTTATTTTTTCCCCAATTTCTGCTTAACAGAAAGAAGATTTGTTCAACACATTTCTAAACATAATAGTTTTAATAACTCATTTCTAATAACTGATTTCTTTTATCTTTGCCATGATGACAGTAAATAATATTTAACTAGACATTTTTTTAGACACATCTATACAGCTTAAATTGACATTTAAAAGCTTAACTAGGTTAACTATGTAGGTTAGGGTAATTAGTGAAGTTATTGTATAACAATGGTTATAGACTATCGAAAAAAATAGCTTAAACAAGCTTATAATTTTGTCCTTAAAATGGATTTAAAAAAATTAAAAACTGCTTTTTACTCTAGCCGAAATAAAACAAATAAGACTTTTGCCAGAAGAAAAAATATTATCAGACATACTGTGAAAATTTCCTTGCTCTGTTAAACATAATTTAGAAAATATTTAAAAAAGAAAATTCAAAGGGGGCTAATAATTCTGACTTCAACTGTATATTTTTGTGCAATTAAGGTGTGACAAATTTTCTTTTTATTTAGTTACACTATTAAATGAAACCTTTTTTAAAAACAATATTTTCACCGACTTATGTAATTATGCAATCTATCTCCCTTTTTAATTTCAAAAGAGGATTAATTTTGACATTGTGCAGATGTGAGATTTCCTAAACATAGTGAATTTAATTTGCATGCTTTTACTCGTGGGAAATAAACAGCCTGTCTTTTATCATCGCTTAAACGATTGTGGACAAACATCTCAGGTCTGAAAATAGATTTCATAACTTTTACTTCTCTTTTCTTTCCCTCAGCTGTCTTTCTCCTTTGAGGCTGGCCGCAGATGTGAGTCCGGAGAAGGGAATTTCGAGTTTGCAACCCATCAGGGTGAAAGACTGTTCAATGCTGTCAGTGCAGCCATCCAGAATCTACCCAGACCATCCGAAACGAAACCTATCAGCCTTGACCAAGCAGAACAAACTAGAGCTCAAGAAACCACGGCTGGAACATACAACGACACCATAGGAAGTCAACCGTATGACTTTTTACTTGAGGGCAAGACGCAGAAACCATCAAAAATGCTCAACCCAGCTAGAAGGAGCTTTTCTTTGAACTCAATAGAGCCACAGATCGAAAGTCAAGAGATAAGCGACAACTTCAACCCTGAGAATCAGGAACCAGTCTACGCCAGAGTGTCAAAAACTCAGCAAAAAACCACTTCCCCGACCAACTCTCAAATGCACTGGCAAAACTTGAGAACAGCTCTCCAGCAGTCTGCGTTTCTAACAGATGCTTTTAAAAGCGACCCCGATGTTTTGCCTGATTTACCAATTTCTTGGGATGGCTATGAAGAGACAGAGATATCTGAAGATTGCATCGATTTTTTGGGTGACTCCATCCAGCAATTAGCAATTAATGACGCATTGCAGACCACCAGTGAAGAAGCCATTTATGCAGATCCACAGGATGTCCAGGACGACGCTGAGTGGGATGTCAGTGGTGTGTACGATGAACCAGAGGAGCTCATGATGGCTAATCAGAGAGCTCACGATGGGGCAAATCACCTAGCCGAGCAGGACTTCTTCTACAGTCCTGACACGAGTGAAACACAGGCCACACACTCTCCCTCTGATCTAGCTGAAAATTCAGATGCCATGTTCTCAATTTATGACAATTTCAGATTGAAGGGGAAGCGAATGTAATATGGCGCTATTATTTCTCAATCTTGCTAAGTAATTAATAGTCAATTACTTGAACTCTGTCTGTAAATATACACTCACTGGCCAATTTAGGTACATCTTACTAGTACTGTGATGGACTCTTTTTGCATTCAGAAATGCCTTAATTCTTTGTGCTTTAAATCTCCATTTCCAGCACATCCTAAAAGTGCTCTATCAGATTGAGATCTGTTGAATGTGAGGCTATTGGAGTTTAGTAAACTCATTGTCGGGTTCAAGAAACCAGTTTGAGATGATTTGGGCTTGCTTGAATTAGCATCACAAAATTATGAAAGTCATCATGAGGTGGTGTTTTAGGTGTTTACAAGCTAAAACCTGAAAAGTTATCCACATGCATTTTAAAAAAGTTTAAAGCCTACACAATATTCTCAAAATGATCCACGTTTACACATTCCCTAGGCCCAATACTGCCCAGGCCCACTGAATCATTCTGGAGGACCATGTGCACCCAATAGTTCCAACATCCTGAATGTGGTGCCGTGTATCAGGATGATAATTCCACCAATACACACAGAAAGACTGGTAACTTGATGAACTTGAATGTGAAGTTGAACATCTTCCATGGTCTGCACAATCACAAGAACTAAATATTATCGAGTCACTTTGGGGTGTTTTGGAGGAGCGAGTCAGGAAATGTTTTCCTCCATCAGCATCATGTAGTGACCTGGCCACCATTTGAGATATATATATATATATATATATATATATATATATATATATATATATATATATATATATATATATATATATATATATATATATATATAAATGTTATTCGGCTGTTGTCCTTGCTATCCTTTAGAAGGTTCATACATTTAAATTCTGTGACTGGATGCGGAGTTAAAAGAATAGCTCATCCTCAAGGAATTTAAGTGTAATTCAACTCTTATTTTCTGTTGAGACAAAAGCAGATATTTAGCAAGATATTCACAATGCTTTTAGACAACTTTTACACAACATTGTCAAATTGATCTACGTTTACACATTCCCGAAAATGTCCAAAATTGTTGTGTTATGTATGCCAAAGAGCTTTCACTTTGTTAGTAAACAAATACCTGTAAGTAAATGATATGTCATTGGTAGGGCCAGACAGAATTTGCAGACATTTTTCGCAATTTTTTTGCAGAGTTTTGTAAAAAATCTGCAGATTTATGCAGAATTTTTTTTCAAGAGTATCATTACTAAAAACTTAATATATGAAATAAAAAAATACATTTTTTAACTTTTATTTAATGTTTATAATGCAAATCCAATTAGATCCACTCAAATGGTAAATAAAGCAAATCTCTCATATATTATATCAACCATAAGACAAAAAATATTACTTTACAAATTGTATTAGATAATAAATCATATGAACCTTTTTATATAAATTAATCATTTTACTGAAATAAATTGAAAAACTGAATACATTCAGTTTACACACATTAACACAAGTAAATAAATAGACTCAATATTGGGCTAAAAATCTGCGGAACTCGCACGCACAGATTCAGTGTGGGCCTAGTCTTCGACAACTTGGCGTAGGTGTATATGCAGAATTTGCCATGTGTATTATGAATCTCCATTGTTTGAATTGGATTTGAAGTAAATCCACACTTAGTTGATAAAGCATTAGCAAACATTTGAGCTTCAACACTACCATGCCACTGTTTTATGTTTGCCTTTAATCTAATCTACGTCATCATTTTAAAGATTTTTGAGAGTTTACAAGGACACAATAATGTCGCCATTTACGAAAACTTAAACTTTGTAACCCATTTTCAGATTTATGCATTTTCAGTCCCAAAATACTCACCACAAACTCATTTTAGTGGCAATTATTCTTCTTTTTGTGAAATCCTGGAGAAAATGGTTAACTTGTTAGTTGAACAGGTGAACCTAATCAAGGGGCCAGTGAGTGGATATAATATTAAAGTTGTAAATATGACAAGCATAATTATTCACAATATTATTTAATTAGATTTACTTCTATGCATTATTATGCACTAACTTATTATAACATTCTAATGTTTTTAGCATCTGCACAATATAGCTACTTAGGTTCCGTTCTTCAAGAAATGCATCATGAAGCTGTAACAAGAATTATATTTTTACTTATTTCCTATCCTTAACCAGGTAGTCAGGATGGGGGTCTTTGGGTCGACAACAGAAGAAACCCCCTGATTTAGTGAATTCGTCAGGCTCTTTCCTTGGTAAAAAACAACAAAACCTCTCCTGTCATTTCACGTATCATGTTTTTCCACTCGAACGCCTCTTCCAGGAAATCTTTGATTGCTAGCTGGAGAAATGTTCATGAAATCTGCTTGACTGTAATGGAACAGTAATAATTACAGTTGGCGGTACAGACATTGGCGTTGGTTTGGACTGGAGGGGCTCGTTCTCTTGCAGACTGATTTAATTAACTGTGCGAAGGGACCTGCGGCTTGAAGCTGATTGGGATCCCGACCTGCCTGAGAATGAAGATGTCACAGCGCCTCAGTCATCCACTGCTGTCTGTCACTCTCTCCACGAAGACGGACGCCTGCTGAAACGGACCGATGTGTGGTTTGCTGAGTAATGCTGCAGTTTGGAGAGCTTTAATTGAACTCATTATTAACTTGACTGCAAAGCATGTGTGTTCATTGAATCAACGGATAGCAACTGTAAAACAATAAAAGCAGTAACTATCCATTACTAAATAATGTTCATGTCATTCACAGACAATCAGCTGTTTCCCCATAGAGGCCATTTATGGTGGGGATGTGATATAGTTCAAAGCTTTTATAAAATGACTTGCAGATCAATGTAAACAAAAAAGAGTAAACATTGCTTAAGGAACTTTTATGTTGCATTTATGAAAAAAGTTGACTCTTAAAAATGTACTTTAAGTGAACTGTACTTAACTTAAAAATGTAAGGCAACCTCACAGCAGAGCTTTTTGAGTCGACTCAACTTAAATCAAGTCAAGTGAAGTACTTAAAAAAGCTGTGCAGCAACCCAGTAGACACACAACATCATAAGACGTTAATATCAGATTAAATTTAGTTCACCAGCATCTAAGGACAATGTTATTTTGACGTTCAATAATGTCGTGAAATGATGTTGATATGTGGTTGATTTTAGATGGTGTTGGGAAGTGACCAAAATCCAATGTCGAGCCAACATCTTAAACTGACATCATATTGACGTTAAATACTGACATTTATTCGTCAGATAAGGCAACCAGAATCTGTTTGACATCTGAGAAACATCATATTGGTAACATCCACTCAAGCTGTAACATCATTAGACGTTGATGTTTTGTTATTTTTAGGTTGCGTTGAAAAGTAACCAAAATGCAATAACTGTCCGACGTTGCACTTTGACGTCGGCCTGACTTTGGTTTCTGATATCAACCCAATTTTCATTTACCATCAAAATGCAACGTCCCACGACGTTGGGGTACAATGACAATCTGACGTCATGTTAATGTCCTGTGCTTGATCAGATGTTGCCTTCAATCAATCAATCAATCAATCAACCAATCAATCAGTCCATCAGTCCGTCTGTCTGTGTGATCAGTATGACTGTCAGTTCATTTGTCAATCTAACCATATATAAATCTATGATGAAAAATATAACTAGTAAAATAAATATAGATTGCTCATTTTGGGTAATGTATTCTGACTACTTTTAGATTACTTCTGACCCAACTCAAAAACAACCTTCAATCTCAGAGGGACATCAAGTCAATATTTGTCAAATATTATTTAAAGGTTACCATTGTATGAAACAGCATTTGAAGGCTACATTATTGACAGAAACATAAATAAAATTGATGTGTTTCATAATTTCAGAATCAAATATTTAACAACCTCATAGTATATGTTGTTATGTAGTAATTAAATATTATAATAATATAATATTATAAAAAAATATAATAAGTACCCAATTTGAATACGAGCATTTAAAAAAAAATCTAATCTATCTATGATTGGTCCATTGTTATATAAAAAGTGTAATCCATCTGTCCAGAGAGAATTTTTAGCACCAGTGGACAAAGATTTTACAAAAATATGTGTAAAGTAGGGCTGCGCAATATATTGTTCCAGCATCGATATCGCAATGTGTGAGTCTGCAACAGTCACATCGCAGAGATCTGCAATGTAGTTGAGATTATAGTTGATAGAGTATTAATTTCAGATTTTAACATCTGAAACATCATAAAAAAATGTGAAAGTTTATTATTTGCAAGTATTTTTACCTGACTGTAATCATTTGAAGAAAATGTAAGCAATTTTGGGCATAATAAATTAAACATTTGTAGCTTAAAGATTAGAAGCACATTATGTTATTAAAAACTCAATTAAAACAATACAGTGTTATTCATTCATTCATTTTCTTTTTAGCTTAGTCCCTTTATTAAACAGGGGTCGCCACAGTGGAATGAACCGCCAACTTATCCAGCATATGTTTTACCAAGCTGATGGCCTTCCAGCTGCAACCCAACACTGGGTTTACACACATACACATTCAATTCATCAAGACAGCATGTCTTTGGACTGTGGGGGAAACCAGAGCACCCAGAGGAAACCCATGAAAACACAGGAAGAACATGCAAACTCCACACAGAAATGTCAACTGACCCAGCCGAGGCTCAAACCCAGTGACCTTCTTGCTGTGAGGTGATTGTGCTACCCACTGCGCCCCTGTAACGCCCAATACAGTGTTATTATTTTTATTATTATACAATGATTATTTAATTTCTGCTTCTAAATACTGTTTGGCTCCCGAAAATCATAAATCATTGTTCATTTGTATCTTTTATCTGTTTGTAACTTATCTTGTCATTTTTATTTATATTTAATGAGGATATGCTCCCCTACAGAATCATCCCAAGCAATCTAAAATTATAGATTCTTTACAAGCTATTAAAGTCCTCTGCAATAATTGCATTTATATCGCAAGATATATCGCAGTGAATAAAAATATTGCAATGTCTTTTTTTTTTCCAGTATCATGCAGCCCTAGCATAAAGGTACAAAAGCTGTCACTTGGAGTGGTACCCTTTAAAAGGCACACCTATTAGTACAAAAAGGGATTCATAATGATGCCTTAAAAGAACATATTAGTACCCAAAGGGTCCATATTGTACATTCAAGGAACATACAATGAAGGGCCCAAAGAACATATTATTAGCTAAAAGGTCTATACAATATTAGTACCTTTTAAAAAGGTACCACCACAGTGACAGCTTTGTACCTTTATTTCTGAAAGTGTAATGTACAGCACACTTATATTTTATAGATAGATTGATACTTATTTTTTATGTTTAATCTGATATGAAGATTTTCCTTACCCCCTTTTTAATGCTAACTTTAATGGTCTGACACTAGGGGGCAGTGTCTTTCTCTCAGCTCACATTAACAGCCAGTGATGTTTGTGAGAGTCCAGCAGCTGAATGCAGAATACTGTTTTGCAGATGTAAAATATGAAATGATCAATTTGATACGAGTCTCCAGAGAAACCAATGAGATCTGTTCGTCTGATGTGCTTTTGCATTCGGAGACGTTGCAATGAAAACTGGTCTTCTTGAAGTTTGATATTGTATTTTCCTCTGAGAGGGTTGGGTCAGATGAAAAAATACAGTTGCATAACAGCAAAAAAGAAGCCCAGTGTTCCTTCGCATCCGTGAAATCCTTG